GGGGGAAAATCACATTTTTCACCAAGTTACTCGCTACACCCCAACACACGGGTGGTACTGAGCAGCTGAACTATCCTTTCCAGGGGCGGACTGACAACTCATGGGGCCCCCAGGCAATAGGGGATCATGGGGCCCCTGTGTCCTTGCCCAAACTCAAAAAAGCCTATGAAAAAGGTACCAGGGGCAACTCATGGGGCCCCCTACTGACCCCAGGCCCTCGGGCAGTGCCGGAGTTTCCAAATGGTCAGTTCGCCCCTGGTTCCACCCACATGCTATTTTGGGGGGAGAGGGAAATCACATTTTTCACCAAGTTACTCGCTACACCCCAAAATACGGGTGGTACTGAGCAGCTGAACTGTCCTTCCCAGGGGCGGACTGACAACTCATGGGGCCCCCGGGCAATAGGGGATCATGGGGCCTCTGTGTCCTTGCCCAAACTGAAAAAAAACTATGAAAAAGGTACCAGGGGCATCTCATGGGGCCCCCTACTGACCCCAGGCCCTCGGGCAGTGCCCAAGTTTCCAAATGGTCAGTCCGCCCCTGGGTTGATCTAAGGTTTAGGTGACCAGATTTTCACATGGAAATCTGGGGACACCCTTCTGACTACACCCAAAAAATTTGTAACCATGCCCGTAATGCCACACCTCAATTTTTAACACGTCCTTAAAAAATTGGTCACAAACCATTGAAAGAAGGGACAGCATTCCATTCCGACCAAACACGTGAGTTGCCAATTTATGAGCTTAATAATTGGTTTCCTGCACTTAGATGGCGCTTCCCTCTTTCTGCTCGCATTATTAAAAGGGAAGACTCATACAGAGACACTTTTTATCTGGGTACAGCCTCCTAAAACTGGGGACTGTACCCAGAAAGGGAACATCCAGTCAACCTACTGACCCCGGGCCCTCGGGCAGTGCCGGAGTTTCCAAACGGTCAGTCCGCCCCTGGTCCTTCCTATATGCTGCTGCGCATCCCAAAGGCTTGATTTTTAAATGCATCAATAAAAGAGGTTCACATTTTTGCAAGAAAAGAAAAAAAAATAGAAGTTTAATTATCCTCATCAACACATAGAAAATATTTAACCTATCACTATAATGTTTGTTTATTTGGCCTAGGGTGGGATTTTTTTATTTTTTATTTTTTTTTTACACGACAGCGGTGTATACCTCACCCTTCCAAAACTGTTCGCAACAAAACCGTCTCTCGCTTCCTTTATCTACACTGACAAAATTAATAAATAAATAAAACACCTCAACCTCGCACGTGCAAATGGAATTGTTTTTTTTTCCCCTCCTTTTTAATTGACAAGTCTGGTCGGTGTGAAATCAAAAAAAAGCGCACTCTGGGTGTGGAGGCGTGCAAGAGAAGAGCCTTTTCTGAATGGTAATTAGCATCCCTTGCAGATAAGGTGGAATCGGAAAGTTTCTTTTTTTTTAAATTTTTTTCTGACCCCGGGCCCCGGCGTAGAAACTAAAAGGCGAAGGAGGGCATCGGAAACGGAGAGCCGTAACCAAGGACCCCTGTCAATTTTCAATCAAGTGGAATAAGGAGAGCAAAACCTTGCTTGATTGAATCCAATCAGCATTTCAATGGTAATGAGGCTCATTATTGACAAAGGAAAAGATATACACTCTTCGACCTTAGTTCTAGTATAATATCTCCAGGGTAGGCACTCTTCACTTTTTTCTTTTTTTTTTTTTTTTACCACCGTGAAAGATAAAATGCATGATGAATTAGAACATTTTAATGAATTTTTAATGCTTTTTTTTTTTTTCTGCTGTCAAAGTTAAAGAAAAAAAAAAAAAAAACACAGCAAGAAGTATCAGCGGAAGAAGTAACAGATCTATAGTCGAGAAAATAATTGGTAGCCCATCTGGTAAAGGCGTTTAAATGCACCATTTATCTTCATCAAGAAACGTCCTCTTGGTCCTAAAGTCATTGTGTTGCCGCTACGCGAGACGTGGTATGTACAAACAAGTTCATTAAAATTGCAGGAGCCCCGCAGCCCGTTGATAACAGCTTGCCCGAAGGTTAACATTTATTGTTCCGTGCTACCGACATCACGGCTTTTATGGGGCATATTTATATGCTAAATTGCCTATTATGTTAAGCGGCGTGTTCCCATTTAGCGACATCACGAATACGATTTGACTAGAGCTGTTTAGATTTTATTAGTCTGATGCCAGGCATCCAAAGGGAGCGGAAACTTCCTACAGGCTCATTGGTTTTTTTTTTTTTTTTAATTTTACTGCTGCGCAAAGGAATCACCTTTTATAGAAATTAATGCTAAATTATTATATATATATAAAAATGATCTTAACCACTTACTTCCAGTCCGGACACTTTCACCCCCTTCCAGTCCGGACACTTTCACCCCCTTCCAGTCCGGACACTTTCACCCCCTTCCAGTCCGGACACTTTCCCCCCTTCTAGTCTGGACACTTTCACCCCCCTTCCAGTCCGGACACTTTACCCCCTTCCAGTCCGGACACTTTCACCCCCTTCCAGTCCGGACACTTTACACCCCTTCCAGTCTGGACACTTTCACCCCCTTCCAGTCCGGACACTTTCACCCCTTCCAGTCCGGACACTTTACCCCCTTCCAGTCCGGACACTTTTCCCCTTCCAGTCCGGACACTTTCACCCCCTTCCAGTCCGGACACTTTCCCCCCCTTCCAAAAAAAAAGTGTTTTACATCCAAAGGGAGCAGAAACTTCCTACAGGCTCATTTGTTTTGTTTTTTTAATTTTGCTGCTGTGCAAAGGAATCGCCTTTTATAGAAATGAATGATAAATGATTTTATATATATATATATATATATATATATATATATAAAATGATCTTAACCACTTACTTCAAGCCCGGACACTTTCCCCCCTTCCAGTCCGGACACTTTCACCCCCTTCCAGTCCGGACACTTTCCCCCCCTACCAGTCCAGACACTTTCCCCCCCTACCAGTCCAGACACTTTCCCCCCCTACCAGTCCAGACACTTTCCCCCCCTACCAGTCCAGACACTTTCCCCCCCTACCAGTCCAGACACTTTCCCCCCCTACCAGTCCAGACACTTTCCCCCCCTACCAGTCCAGACACTTTCCCCCCCTACCAGTCCAGACACTTTCCCCCCCTTCCAGTCCGGACACTTTCCCCCCTCCAGTCCGGACACTTTCCCCCCCCTTCCAGTCCGGACACTTTCCCCCCCTTCCAGTCCGGACACTTTCCCCCCCCCCTTCCAGTCCGGACACTTTCCCCCCCTTCCAGTCCGGACACTTTCCCCCCCTTCCAGTCCGGACACTTTCCCCCCCTTCCAGTCCGGACACTTTCCCCCCCTTCCAGTCCGGACACTTTCCCCCCCTTCCTGTCCAGACCAATTTTCAGCTTTCAGTGCTATTTTTTTTATCAAAAAAATTGTAAACATTCACAATATTAGCAACAGCAATTTATGACTTTAACCGCTTCCAGTCCGGACACTTTCCCCCCTTCCAGTCCGGACGCTTTCACCCCCTTCCAGTCCGGACGCTTTCCCCCCCTTCCAGTCCGGACGCTTTCCCCCCCTTCCAGTCCGGACGCTTTCCCCCCCTTCCAGTCCGGACGGACGCTTTCCCCCCCTTCCAGTCCGGACTCACTGAAATCTGTCCGAACAAGAGTCTAGTAAACATCCCGGGGAGGATAACATTTGAAACACGAAATCATAAATTATAATTTAATAAATAATCATAAAAAATAATAATATAATAATAATTAATTTAATTCAATAATGTAATCAAACCAAAAACAGTGAAATGTGAAATATAGCGCAAAGTTCGCACATCATTGAGCAAAGTCGCAGAATCGTTTTCAGTGTCTGATGAGGAATTTCCCCCACGAATCATTATCACTCAATTCTGCAAGTGGTTCTGATTTACTATCGCTGTTCTCTAGCCGGTCTAAAAACCGCGTCTGACCTAAAGGGACGCTTTTTGGACGCCATGGACGTTTCTCAGTTTCCAGGCAGAAAGAACAGTAAAAATGCAGGCAGGGCGCCGGACAAAGCACTCGGGACAAAATGTATGTGAAATGGTTTGATACAGGAATGTTATACTATGTGATTTTAGTGAATTTAGTGAATGTCACTTTTACAACTTTCAAATTTCCCGCCAGTTCCATCCCCCGTACGTCCCGACGGAACAGAACCCAGAAGACAGATGCCGGCATCGGCCGGAGGACATTGCCGGGGACACTGCAGGGGGGGACATCGCGGGAGTGCAGGACAAGGTAAGTGCAGGAGGGATCCCGGAGAGCAACGCTGCAGTGTATTCCCGAGTGTAGCTCGGGGTTACTGGTTGTGGTGCTGAAACTTTACCCCGAGCTACACTCGGGAATACCGCCAGGGAGGTTAACCACTTCCAGTCCGGACACTTTCACTCCTTCCAGTCCGGACACTTTTACCCCCTTCCAGTCCGGACACTTTCACCCCCTTCCAGTCCGGACACTTTCCCCCCTTCCTGTCCAGGACAATTTCCAGCTTTCAGCGCTATCACACTTTGAATGACAACTGCGCGGTCATGCAACACTGTATCCATATAAATTTTTTAGCATTTTTTTTTTGAGACAGATAAAACTTTATTTTGGTGGTATTTATTCACCGCAGGCAAATTTTTTTTTTTTTGCTATATAACTGAAAAAGTCAAAAAAGTTTGAAAAAAAAAGTGTTTTTTTTTTCTTATTTTTTGCAAATAAATAATAGTTCTTCAGAAATCTTGGCCAAAATGTATTCATCTATCTTTTTAGTTAAAAAAAAAAACAAATTAGTTTATAACCAAAAATTATAATTTTTCTAATTTTTCTTTTTATATTTTTATTATATTGTTTTATATTATTATTTATTTATTTTTTTTAACATACTGTCACCCTAGCAGTACAGTGTCACCATAGTGACACTGTACTACTTCTGGGGGGTGATGAAGATTTTTTTCTTCTTTTTTTTTCACTGATTGCTTTTACACCCATAAAGGATGTAAAAGCAATCATTTCTCATTCTCTCTAGCTGCATTCTTGCAGCCATTGAGAAATACTGTGAGAGCTGTGATTGGTCACAGCTTGTCACATGGTACAAGGCTGTTGTGAATAGCTTTGTACCATGTGACCTCTGTAATCATTCACAGATTTCACTAGTAGTAAGCAATGATGTCAGGAAGTAATACTTCCAGTTTCTCCAGATTTTTGTATTGTTGGATTGGGCTTCGTAGTTTGAAGGATTTTGAAGCGTCTTGAGAAGGAAGAAATTCCCAACCCTGTGTCCAGGTTTTGTTAAAAACCAGCAGGATGTGTGTTCAGGTGCACACAGTCCTTATAATAAACGCTTGAGGATAGCTCAGGGCAGTTGCTGCCATTCAGAGACACAGCCTTGGAGTGAAAACCGCAGTGTGCTCCAGCCAGGAAGGGTGACCTACTCGGGAGACAAAATCTATGTTGGGGGACTTCTTGCCCATAGAACCGTGAAAGTCAGGACAACTACGAAGGTCCAGAGAGAATGGGAAGGCTGAGTTTACTAGCGTGTCCAGGGAGACTGGAAGGAGGCTGGGTTTCCAAGAAGTGGGGGAGAAACTCTATCAGGAGGTCAGAAGTGGGCCCATACAGCAAGGTGCTGTGACGTGAGCCTGAAGAACCCATGGTCTGGGAGACCAGTGCTAGTTGCAACAGTGCTGCTAAAGTGTAGCCAGGTGGGCAAGTATTTTTCAATTTCTGTTGTTGATACAGAAGAACCTGTCTGTGCACTATACTGCTATGTGAACTTTGCTTTGCCGGTTTCAATAATAATGGGCTGCCAAGCCATTAAAAACCCAGTTTGGACTGACGCAATCTCACTTAAAAATGCTCACCATCTCGGGGTCTAATCACCACATAGCACAACATATATAGGAGGAACAAATTTCCTCTCAAAGTGTATCTAAACTCAAAAATAAACAGTTTAAGGATATGTTCACCTTTATGAACATGTTACACCCATATTTAGGTTATAACATGTAACCAGGGGCGGACTGACAACTCATGGGGGCCCCCGGCAATAGGGGGATCATGGGGCCCGTGTACTTGCCCAAACTCTAAAAAGCCTATGCAAAAAGGTACCAGGGGCATCTCATGGGGCCCCTACTGACCCCGGGCCCTCGGGCAGTGCCCAGTTTCCAAATAGTCAGTCCGCCCCTGCATGTAACATGTTACTAAAGCAGCAGCCTGAACACCCCCCCCCCTGATCCCCTACTGTTCAAAAACAGCACGGATGTTCAGCACTCCGCCCACCACAGCTGCGTCATTCATTCACAGAGATCTGTGAATAAATGGACTACAAGTCCGATCTTCCACCGGCTGACAACCTTGTAGTTCTCAATAAACTGCAAGTGCCCTGACGAACGCCCTCGTAGTTCATGCAGTCTTCCCACTCTTCCAAAACTGTCTAATCAGGGCGATCCATTTCGCATACAGAAAAGAAACAAAAGAAATAAGGGCACAGGAATTAGAAAGAGAGTAGCAAGCTTAACGCTTGACAAAAGGAGGGGGGGGGGCGTGCTCCTGAAACGCGTTGCTGTCTATTCACCTTTGAAAGCTGTAATTTCCCTGTCTGTGTGGAAGTGCCAAGAGAGTGGCTGTGGACCTTGTTGGCGGGAATCCTTCTTGGAGGGTCCAATGCTCTGCTAGGAGGCGTCCACTAAACTTCAGCTTTAGAGTGACTGTAATCCCATTTTTTTTCTTAAATAACAAACAACACTTACCTGCTCTGTGCAAAAGTCTTTTTTAAAGAATAACCCCGATCCTTCTCTTCTCAGGTCCACTGCTGGCACTCCTGGCTCCCCCCTCCCCTCCACACTGAGTGTCCTCCATAACAAGCTGCATGCTATGGGGGCACTTGTGTAGGCTCACTCCTGAGCTTGCTCTGTGTGTCCATAGACATACAGAGCTCAGGTTGGCCCTGCCCTCCGCTCACTCCTGAGCTTGCTCTGTGTGTCCATAGACATACAGAGCTCAGGTTGGCCCTGCCCCCCGCTCGGTCCTAAGCTCGCTCTGTGTGTCCATAGACCTACAGCTCGCTCTGTGTGTCCATAGACATACAAAGCGCAGGTTGGCCCTGCCCTCCTCTCACTCCTGAGCTTGCTCTGTGTGCCCATAGACATACAGAGCGCAGGTTGGCCCTGCCCTCCGCTCACTCCTGAGCTTGCTCTGTGTGTCCATAGACATAGAGAGCTCAGGTTGGCCCTGCCCTCCTCTCAGTCCTCCTGAGCTTGCTCTGTGTGTCCATAGACATACAAAGCGCAGGTTGGTCCTGCCCTCCGCTCCCTCCTTATTGGCTGTTGTAATGGAAATGTCCCAGTCTGTGCTGAGTACTTCCGTTAGAATACCGCTTCCCCGTCCAAAAACCAACACCACAGCGGACCATACAAGACTAGATGACACCAGTCTGTCTGAACATGGAACTCTTTATTTGAAACTCAAACTGGCTTTATATACACTCAGGGGACAAATCCCCCTCCCTGCATAATGACACAGGACAGGGCAATCTATACTTAGCAACAAGAGATACACAGGTATTCAAACTTCACACCAGCAGACAGTTCCATCAGGAGGGAGGGCTGCTGGAGACACCCCCCCCCCCACACCACAAAATTAAAAACACATAAACACATACATTCCATAATAATTTGCTCCCAAGCAAGACACACAATAGAACAATGGGATGCAACCACACAACACCAAACAATCCACTACCCCCTACCCCCACCTATCTCCTAGACATGTCTACACAATATTAGAACAGATCACCCCAGGGGCAGGACTGACAACTCATGGGGCCCCTGGGCAATAGGGGATCATGGGGGCCCCTGTGTCCTTGCCCAAACTCAAAAAAGCCTATGAAAAAGGTACCGGGGCATCTCATGGGGCCCCCTACTGACCCCAAGGCCCCGGGCAGTGCCCGAGTTTCCAAATGGTCAGTCCGCCCCTGGATCACCCTGTACCCCTAACAGGCACAGGGTGACTTACACATAATAGGGATATGGAGAGCTGAGACAGGGGTCTCCCCACCTCTCCAAAGTGAGCTGTGTTCCATGGGCCCCCCACCCAAAATGATTGTGATTGACAGCAGCAGGAGCCATTATCTCTGATCCTATGGAGGAGGGAAAGAGGAGAGAGCCGCTGCTCATGTGCACAGTCCGGTATATGTAGGGGGTTCTGGAGGGGATCTGCAGAAAAAGTATTAAGCGAATAAAAAAGCCTTTAGAACGACTTTAAAGATGAAGTCCAGGCACGGCGATTTTTACATTCCTGTTGCAGCCTTTAAACGTCTCTTTCACTTCAGCAGAAATTTGTTATCTAAGTCCTGGTGAGTGATGTGTTTCATTTCATACCGGCGTTATTAGTCTCACTTTATGCCTAAAAACCCGACTGACAGGTTCCTCTGATAGGAGATTAATCACCACGACGTGGGAGGCACATCCACCTCGTTCTGAATAAAACACCGGATCCTTCTCCTTCCATACACTACGTGCTGAGCGAATCCATTATACAGATCGCCGATTCCTATACAGGTGTCCAGCAACGCCTCTGAAAGGGATGCATCTGGAATTATATCACACGGGGACGAAAAACCCCAACGTTCCCCACACCGAAACATCATTAGACGCTATAAAAAATGGAAACGGAGAAGCTCGCGGGATCCCTACCAGCGGCCAATCCCGCTTCATCCGAGAAACCTCGCCACAGGCATCCGGTCTGCAATGAGCGCCCGAGGCAGTTTCATCTCTTTCCGTTGCTCAGATATAACAATAAATAAATGTATAGGTAATGCAATGTAAAGTAAAAGCCGGGATACGCAGTCGCGTTGTCTCTGTGAGAATGGTTTTGCCTGCCGAAACAATCTGTAACTCCGTTCAGCCGGATGCACAGACTCTTCCCATACTGCATAGCCAGCAGGATGGCTTTTAGATATGTTTTTGTCAGTTCAGGCTTCTGGGAGAAAGGGACAATTACTGCCCCGAACTACATCACCGACCTAATATCCAAGTACCGCCCAGCACGCACACTCCGCTCCTCACAAGACCTCCTTCTCTCTAGTTCCCTGGTCTCCTCCTCCCATGCCCGCCTCCAGGACTTCTCCAGGGTGCATCACCCATCCTCTGGAACTCCCTGCCCCAACCCATCAGATTATCACCTACTCTCCTCTCCTTTAGGCGCACCCTGAAAACTCATCTCTTCAGGGAAGCCTACCCCACCCCCTGTTAATTGCCGACCTCCTCCAGTCCTCCTACCACTCCGTCCCCCACAGCTATCTCCTCCTGTACCACCATCCCCTCCTCCTAGATTGTAAGCTCCAAAGAGCAGGGCCCTCGATCCCCTCATGTTTTGCATTGTATTGGTATTGTTTCTGTCACATGTTCTGTCCCCCTTTGTAATGTACAGTGCTGAGCGAACTATCGGCGCTTTATAAATACTGTATAATAATAATAATAATGGGTTGCTCCAAGCACTTGTGATGTTGTGACTTTTGGAAATTATATTGCCTCACATCCAGAGGCGTCCAGGGGCTTATTTACCACAAGGCAAACAAGGCGTTTGCCTAGGGCGGCATCTTTCAGGGGGGCAGCGCTACTCCCCTAAAGAAGGGATGGAAGAAGAGACGCACACAGCATGGGGACCAGGTGGGATCTGAGAGAGGCTGCGGGCTGCTTGATGGTGTATGCAGAGCCTGACTCTTGTTCCCGGGCAGGGGTGGACTGACAACTCATACGGCCCCCGGGCAATTGGGGATCATGGGGCCCCTGTGTCCTTGCCCACACACTCAAAACACACCCAAAAAAGCCTATAAAAGGTACCAGGGGCATTTTATGGGGCCCCCTAATGACCCCGGCCCTCGGGCGGTGCCTGAGTGCTCAAATGGTCAGTCCGCCCCTGTTCCCGGGGATGTCTGGAGCTGTGAAGATGAGTGTCTTCTATATGAGGGGGGGGGCAAGGGGCGGACTGACCATTTGGAAACTCTGGCACTGCCCGAGGGCCCGGGGTCAGTAGGGGGCCCCATGAGATGCCCCTGGTACCTTTTTCATAGGCTTTTTTGAGTTTGGGCAAGGACACAGGGGCCCCATGATCCCCTATTGCCCGGGGGGCCCCATGAGTTATCAGTCCGCCCCTGGGGGGGGCGGTGGTAGTGGAAGGCTCTCTTTGGTGGGGGGGATATGGTGTGTTGTTGGTCAATGTCAGGCACTCTGCATGGGGGAGGGGGGGTGTTGGTCGGTGTCAGGACCTCTCTGTGTGGGGGTGGGAGATTTTTGTGTTGCCTAGGGCAGCACGAAACCTAAATACACACCACTGGAGGCGCCCCTAGGGTTGGTGTCACCCGGTGCGATAACACTTGCTGACACCCCCGATCCCCGTAGAATGGATCGGATCTGCGGATTGAGCATAATGGATTGGACTCAGTGGTGTATTTAGGTTTTGTGCTGCCCTAGGCAACACCAAAAATGGAGCTCCCCCCCGCAATAAGAGCCTGACATTGACCAAGAACACCCCTGCTCTCAAGCTGAGCCTTCCTCTACCACTGCCCCCCATACACCAGCCACCATCCCCCATGGCGAGAAAGAGAGAGACACTCACCTTCACAGCTCCGGACATCCCCAGGAATGAGTCAGGCTGTGCATACACCTCATGAAACCCGCAGCATCTCTCAGAACCCTCCCAAATCCCCATGCTGCGTGTGTCCCTTCTTCCGTCCCTTCTTCCAAGGGGCAGTGCTGCCCCCCTGAAAAATGCCGCCCTAGGCAAATGCCCTGTTTGCCTTGTGGTAAATACACCCCTGATCGGACCCCGATCCATTATGCTCAATCCGCAGATCCGATCCATCCTGCGGGGATCGTCGGCTTTCTTTACAACTTACCTTTTCTTGGAGCGGGTCCGGTGTCACCCCGTATAGGTTGCAAGCCGACGATCCCCGCAGGATGATTCGGATCTGTGAATTGAGCATAATGGATCGGAGTCCAATCCAATACGCTCCCCAATCCGCAGATCCGATCCATCCTGCGGGGATCATCGGCTTGCTGTACAACTTACCTTTTCGTGGAGCGGGTCCGGTGTCACCCCGTATAGGTTGCAAGCCGACGATCCTCGCAGGATGATTCGGATCTGTGAATTGAGCATAATGGATCGGAGTCCAATCCAATACGCTCCCCAATCCGCAGATCCGATCCATCCTGCGGGGATCATCGGCTTGCTGTACAACTTACCTTTTCTTGGAGCGGGTCCGGTGTCACCCCGTGCAGTCAGTGTCACCTGGTACGGGCTGCACCTGCCTCGGGGACGCCACTGCCCACATCCCGACACTGACTCAATTTTGCTGCCCTTACCTCTATAACGTTTCCAAAATTCCCTCTTTTAGTCCTCACGCACGCGGGGACGTTTTTACAGCGGCTGTTTTTGGCTTTTGTCATTTTTTTTCTACAGTCGGTAAATTCCGCAGCATGTTATCCTATGTGTCCGTACACACATAGACTGGAATCAATGTTTTTGGCTGGGAGGTTTTTAGGCTGGAAAAAAAAAAAAAACAAAACTAGTGGGTTTCTAGAGGAGTTTTTTTAGCTGTAAAAACGCTTTAACGCTGAAAATCACAGCAAAACACAGTAAAACACGAAAAAAACGCAGCAAATCGGCGGTTTTGGACTTTTTTGGCTGGGGAAAAAAAAAAAACGTGGCAAAATGCTATAAAACGTGGTAAAACTCCACAAACCTCTGTTTTTGGACTTTCTTAACCAGTTCCAGTCCGGACACTTTTACCCCCTTCCAGTCCAGGGCACTTTTCAGCTTTCAACGCTGTCACACTTTGAATGACAATTGCGCGGTCATGCAACACTGTAGCCATATGCATTTTTTACCATTTTTTTGACACAGATAAAGCTTTATTTTGGTGGTATTTATTCGCCGCTGGGATTTTAATTTTTTTTGCTATGTATTTGAAAAGGTTGAAAAAAAGTGTTTTTCTTATAAAATTTTGCAAATAAATAATATTTCATCATAAATCTTGGCCGAAATGTATTCCGTTATCTTTTTAGTAAAAAAAAAAAAAAAAGCCAAATTAGCTTATAACCAAAAATTATAATTTTTAAAAATTTTTTTACATTTTTATTTTATTTTTTTATATTATTATTTATGGTTTGTTTTTTTTTACATACTGTCACCCTAGCAGTACAGTGTCACCATTTTTTTTTTTTTTTTTTTTTTTTACACTGATTGCTTTTACACCCATATAGGATGTAAAAGCAATCATTTCTCTTTCTCTCTGTCTGCATTCTTGCAGCCATTGAGAAATACTGAGTGAGCTGTGATTGGTCACAGCTTGTCACATGGTACAAGGCTGTTGTGAATAACCCTGTACCATGTGACCTCTGTGATCATTCGCAGATTTCACACATAGTAAGCAATGATGTCACAAGTGACATCTTGCTTACTACTTTGCATGTGATCACTGATTGGCCAATCGGTGATCACATGATCAGGACCTCGTACAGAGGTCCCATACGACGATCGGTGTTTTCACTGTATCCGGAGGACACAGCAGGGACCGGATCGCGGTGCTGCAATGCACGCTCCCAGGGAGCGCGCACAGCTAGAAATGGCGGGTGCCGTTTATGAACGGCAACCCGCCCCTGAAGTGCCACCGCCCTGCCGTTTATAAACAGCAGGCGGACGGCAAATGGTTAAGCTGAAAAAAAACCCAGTGCTAGTGGGTTTCTAGAGGAGTTTTTTTTAGCTGTGAAAAACACTTTAATGCTGAAAAATGCATCAAAACACTGTAAAACGCGGTAAAACGCCGCAAATAAGCGTTTTTGGACTTTTTTTGGATGGGGAAAAAATTTGGAAAAACGCTATAAAACACGGTAAAACGCAGCAAACCGCTGTTTTTGGACTTTCTTAGGCTATAAAAAATCCCAGGATTAGTGGGTCTCTAGAGGAGTTTTTCAGCTGTAAAAAACGCTTTAACGCTGAAAAACGCGGCAAAACGCTGTAAAACGTGGTAAAACGCTGCAAACTGGCGTTTTTGGATGTTATTTTGGCTGGGGAAACAAATGCTAAAAAAACGTGGCAAAACGCTGTAAAATGCTACACACCATCGTTTTTGGACTTTTTTTGGCTGGAAAAAAAACCCAGGACTAGTGGGTTTCTAGAGGAGTTTTTTTAGGGGCAAAATGCTGTAAAATGCAGTAAAACGCCGCAAACCAGCATTTTTGGACTTTTTTGGCTGGGGAAAAAAAAACACTGCAATACGTGGTAAAACGCCACAAACCGCTGTTTTGGGATGTTTTTTGGCTGGAAAAAAAACCAGGACTAGTGGGTTTCTAGAGGAGTTTTTTTTTTAGCTGTCAAAACGCTCTAACGCTGAAAAATGCAGCAAAACGCAACCACAGGGCCGCTGTGACATCTGAATATCAGATATTTCATGGGCATACACCCCGTCTGTGCCTTATTTCTGAAGCTTATATTGCCCCACATCCCAACATTTGCTCAATTTTGCTGCTCTAACCTCTGTAACGTTTCCAAAATTCCCTCTTTTAGTCCTCATGCACACGGGACATTTTTACAGCAACTGTTTTTGGCTTTTGACGTTTTTTTTCTACAGCCAGTAAACCCCCCCAGCATGTTCTCCTATGTGTCCGTACACACATAAACTGGAATCAGTGTTTTTTGGCTGGGAGGTTTTATTGGCTGGAAAAAAAAAAAAAAAAAACACAGGACTAGTGGGTTTCTAGAGGAGTTTTTTTAGCTGTAAAAACTCTAAAGCTGAAAAACGCGGCAAAACGTGGTAAAACGCAACAAACCAACTTTTTTGGACTTTTTCTATGAAAAAAAAAAAACACTAAAAAATGCAAACGTGTGAAAATGCAGGAAAAGGCTGCTAAACACGGAAAAACGCTGCTAAACGCTACTACAAAAACACTAAAAAAAAAAGCTGCAAAACTCGCGTTTCTAACGCAACTTTACACAGCTAACATTACCAGCGTTATCAAAATGTCCCGCGTGCGTGAGGACTAATAAACAAGACCACAAAGCAGCTAAATCGCTCCTTGGTTATCTCCCACCCAGGGGCGAACTAACAACTCATGGGGCCCCTGTGTCCTTGCTCAAACACAAAAAAGCCTATGAAAAAGGTACCAGGGGCATCTCATGGGGCCCCCTACTGACCCCGGGCCCTCGGGCAGTGCCAGAGTTTCCAAATGGTCAGTCCGCCCCTGGATCACCCTGTACCCCTAACAGGCACAGGGTGACTTACACATAATAGGGATATGGGGAGCTGAGACGGGGTCTCCCCACCTCTCCAAAGTGAGCTGTGTTCCATGGGCCCCCCACCCAAAGTGACTCCCGTCACAGCTGTGATTGACAGCAGCAGGAGCCATTATCTCTAATCCTATGGAGGAGGGAAAGAGGAGAGAGCCGCTGCTCATGTGCTCATGTGCACAGACCCTTCTCAATGGTCTTCCTCAACACAGGATACATAAACAAATGGGCAGCACTGTAGCTAAATGGTTAGCACTTCCGCCTGGCAGTACTACGGTCATTGGTTCAAATCCCAACCATGGCACCATCTGCCTGGAGTTTGAATGTTCTCCCCTGTGCCTGCATGGTTTTCTTCAGGGTGCTTCAGTTTTCTCCCACATTCCAAAGACTGGAAGGTCAATTGGCTCCTGTCTAAATTGGCCCTAGTATGTGTATGTATGAATGTGAGTTAGGGACTTTAGATCGTACGCCCCTTGAGGGCTAGGGACTGATGTGAATGTACAATAGATATGTAAATTGACATTTTATATAAGCATCTGTAATAAATAAAAATAATAATATATTGGTATCTCTGGGACCCGGGTCTGTCTGGGAGTGTACTGGTTCAGCTCCACGCCTAGAGCTTGCAAGGTGAAGGAAGGATGGCCCCACCTTTCCATAGTTTTTATTTGCATGTAGACTATATTACAGGATAATGTTTTTTATGGTGTCAATGAAATATATTTATTTTGATAAAACTGTGATAAATTTGATTTTCTATTCTTCTCCAGTGTGCACATGGATAGTGACAGAGCAGTGTTTTTCAAACTTTTTTCATTCGCAGAAAACTGAGAGAATTTGAAAATTCTTGAGGCACCCTGCTATAAAATGGGGTCCTCTTTCATAATCAGAAGCCCCTTGCTCTTTCACATCAAATACCAGACACTTCTGACAAGTCAAGATGGCACACAAGGGTGCCTTGGCATACTGGTTGAGAAATGCTGGTATAGAGTAATGGTAAAATAATTGTCTCTAACATGCGTGGCATGGGGTATGCTAAATAGGTGGTTTGTAATGAGTATATACAGGGACACACCTTGGGCACCTCAAAAGTCCACTTCCACCAATTATGTTTAATCTTGTGTGGTAGGGTACAACGCTTCTTTTTTGGGGAAAAAGTCCTGTAACCAGTGCCCATACAGACTGCTAAGAGATCTAGAAGAGTCAGTGGGCAGGTTGCATGGATCAGATATCCTGGCAGAGCCCACTTCCACCAATGATGTTAAATCTTGGATGGTATGGTATAACTCTTTTTGGGGAAGATTCCTGTGACCAGTGCCTATACAGACAGCCAAGCAGTCTAGGAGAGTCAGTGGATAGACCCTATGGATCAGGTACCCTGGCAGAGCCCACTTCCACCAATTATGTTAAATCTGGTGTGGTAGGGTACAACGCTTCTTTTTTGGGAAAAAAGTCCTGTAACCAGTGCCCATATAGACTGCTAAGAGATCTAGAAGAGTCAGTGGGCAGGTTGCATGGATCAGATATCCTGGCAGAGCCCACTTCCACCAATGATGTTAAATCTTGGATGGTATGGTATAACTCTTTTTTTGGGGAAGATTCCTGTGACCAGTGCCTATACAGACAGCCAAGCAGTCTAGGAGAGTCAGTGGATAGGCCCTATGGATCAGGTACCCTGGCAGAGCCCACTTCCACCAATTATGTTAAATCTGGTGTGGTAGGGTACAACGCTTCTTTTTGGGGAAAAAAGTCCTGTAACCAGTGCCCATACAGACCGTTAAGAGACCTAGAAGAGTCAGTGGGCAGGTTGCATGGATCAGATATCCTGGCAGAGCCCACTTCCACCAATTATGTTAAATCTTAGGTGCCAGGGTGTAGCTCTTTTTTTGGGAGACAATTCCTATAACCAGTGCCCATACAGACAGCTAAGAGGTTTTGGAGAGTCAGTGGGTAGGTCCTATGGATCAGGTACCCTGGCAGAGCCCACTTCCACCAATGATGTTAAATCTTGGACGGTATGGTATAACTCTTTTTTGGGAAAGATTCCTGTGACCAGTGCCTATACAGACAGCTAAATGGTCTAGGAAAGTCAGTGGATAGGCCCTATGGATCAGGTACCCTGGCAGAGCCCACTTCCACCAATTATGTTAAATCTCGGATGGCATGACCTTAAAAGTCCACTTCCACCAATTATGTTCAATCTGGTGTGGTAGGGTACAACACTTCTTTTTTTGGGAAAAAGTCCTGTAACCTGTGCCCATACAGACCGCTAAGAGATCTAGAAGAGTCAGTGGGCAAGTTTTATAGATCAGATATCCTGGCAGAGCCCACTTCCACCAATTACGTTAAATCGTAGGTGCCAGGGTATAGCTCTTTTTTTGGGAGACAATTTCTATAACCAGTGCCCATACAGACAGCTAAGAGGTTTTGGAGAGTCAGTGGGTAGGTCCTATGGATCAGGTACCCTGGCAGAGGCCACTTCCACCAATGATGTTAAATCTTGGATGATATGTTATAACTCTTTTTTTGGGGAAGATTCCTGTAACTAGTCCCCCAAACAGACAGCTAAGCGGTCTATGAGAGTCAGTGGGTAGGCCCTATGGATCAGGTACCCTGGCAGAGCCCACTTCCACCATTTATGTTAAATTTCGGATGGCATGACCTTAAAAGTCCACTTCCACCAATTATGTTCAATCTTGTGTGGTTGGAAAAAAGTCCTGTAAAGTCAGTGGGTAGGTCCTATGGATCAGGTACCTTGGCAGAGCCCACTTCCACCAATGACGTGGAATCTTGGATGATATGGTATAACTTTTTGGGGAAGATTCCTGTAACCATTACCCATAGAGACAGCTAAGAGATCTAGAAGAGTCAGTGGGCAAGTTGCATGGATCAGATACCCTGGCAGAGTCCACTTCCACCAATGACGTTAAATCTTGGATGATATGGCATAACTCTTTTTTTGGGGAAGCTTCCTGTGACCAGTGCTCATACAGACAGCTAAGCGGACTAGGAGAGTCAGTGGATAGGTCCTATGGATCAGGTACCCTGGCAGAGCCCACTTCCACCAATATGTTAAATCTCGGATGGCATGACCTTAAAAGTCCATTTCCACCAATTATGTTCAATCTTGTGTGGTAGGGTACAAACGCTTATTTTTGGTATGATATAACTGTTTTTTTGGGGATGATTCCTGTAAAAAGTGTCCATACAGACAGCTAAGTGGTCTAGGAGAGTCAATGGGT